AAAAAAAAAAAAAAAAAAAAGAAGAAGAAAGATAATGGGCAGAGACCATTCTCGGAAACCAAAACTTTACAACCTAGTTGAGGAGGTAACATCACAGGAGTTTTAGCTAAGGCAACATAGAAGACAATGGGACTGAAAATATTGAGAATCCAGGAGAAAGGAATGCTAACTAGAGCCAAGGTGACTCAGGCTTTGAAGACGGTTTGGGTTGGCCCTTAAGGCATAAGGATGTAGGGCTAAAGCTTCCAAGATCCTATAGTGTAGGAACAGAAGTAAGGAGATAAGAGTCAGTGAGGGAGGAGGGGAGCCAGGGAAGAAGACTGTCTCATAGGAACTAAAAGAGAATTTCAAGAAAGAGTAGGTGTGGTAGACGAAATGTGGTAAGAAAATTCTTTGTCCTTCGTCCCATCAAGAGAGTAAGTCATTTCTACACCACTTGCATCTGGGCTGGCCCAGGGACTCGTGCTGAAGATAGAAAGTGGGGGGAGTGACATAGGGTCAGCCAGCACCTACTGCCACCCAGGTGAGTGAGGCTGTCTGGGACCTTCCAGTCCAGCTGATCCTCCTGCCGACGGTGCCACATGAGCGAGTCCAGGTGAAAGGAGCAGAAGTGCCACCCCGCCAAACCAGAGAATCATGGGAAATAGTAAATCGTTATTTTAAGCCACTACTTTTCCGGATGGTTTGTTATGCCTAGATGGGTGACTGATGTGAAACCAGCTATAGGGAAGGATGAGAAATGAAGGATGACCAAGAAATTTGGAAGTCGTCGGTGTCCTGGCATCTCAATTCTGGAAAAGGCCTGAATCTGCCAGAATTGCTTCCAGTTTACAGACGAATGCATTGAGTTATCAAGGTCTGAGGCTATTAATTATTTGAAAAGTATATTTGTAATTAACAGTCTTGTTTCGATTCTGTGCTCACCAAGAAATCCAGACATTTGACTTCAACTTGCAGAGCGAGGCAATGCTCTGGTCAGGCCAAGGGTAGAGCCAGCCTTCCTGACAATTATCTTTCTCTTTGTAAATGAATAATTTTCATTTTCAATTTATTTTTTAAAAACAGGGCCTTATCTGTATCAAAAATTAGCTCTACAGTTTTATATTTAACGTATGTCTTAAATTAAGAGAAAAGTTTTTCTGCTTTCTGAAGTGAAATATTCTTAAAATGTAAACAATTTAAAAGCGTATGAATTACAAAGTGAAAATTTTCCACAGTCCTACTCACTATACACCCTAATAAACCAGCATTAACAGGTTAGTCTATATAAATATATATGTACACATATTCCTACCATCAATTCATCTAATCAGGTTTATTTTTCTTTCAGATAAAAGGGGAAGAATCAATATGCCCACAATTTCTGTACAATCATACGTCTCTTTCTGGCGTATTGCAAGTATTTTTAGAAGAAAGCCACAAGGTGTAAATATGTAGTTTCCTCCCATTATATTAAAACCCAAGAACAAGTGTCCCTACATTGTCAAGTGTAGCGATTTAATCTTAGGAAGAGTAACCAGTTCCCCTTCATTCCCGGCCCGGTGCATCGCCTCCTCGCCCAGGCCGCAGTGTCAGTGGTTAGAGCTGTGCATTTTAACCTGCTGCTTGTCTTTGCATCACATCGAAAGGGGTACTACGGGGTTGACTTACACCTGCGGTGGAGAGGAATAAGCCATTTGGTTTGGCAGATGCTTCAAAGGAGAAACGGATGGGAGAATGACGGCAGGTAACCTGCTGGGAGGAGTCAGAAAATACCCGTGCTGAAACGCTATTATCCTTATGTTGACCCCAAACCAGTCTGGGGCTTCTCCGGTCATTGGCTTTCTTTGACCCTTTTCTTATTCCCCTTGAAGTTTTAATTAAGTTCAACCATATTGGGTCAACTGTTCCAATTTCTGTGGAATCTTGTATTTCTGGTTCATTATAACAAGAAATCATTCTCTCATATCCAAAAAAAAAAAAAAAAATTTCATTTCTCTCTACTGAAAGAAAGAGGGAGTGTTCTATGGCCCACTTCTAGGTTAGATTGTTTACGCAGTCTCTCCAAGTGAAACTTATTTAACCAGTTTTCTAAATGCCTAGTCATATAAGAAACTCTTTATTAAACTGACTTTATGCCATATTCAGAATAATTGTAGACATTTAAATTCAAGAGTTTTCCTGGTGATCTCAACCTTAAGAAGTGTTCAGGACTTAAAGAGACCTGCACGTGTGGTGGAGAGGGAAGAGCCAAAGCCCGTGGATCTAGTGAGCATGACATTCTAGGACCTTCCGACACCCCTCCTGTGTGGGGCAGGTGGGGAGACGGGAGGGCTTCTTAGATCATCACTGCACAGAGCTTTGGAAGCTTCACTTGTTAGAAAGCCCTGGTTATACTAATTCCTTAGCTGGTCACCCAAATTAAACACATAGCAGAGAAACTGGAATTATGCTTTGAGATATGGTTTCACACCAAAGGGAGTGTCCTAAAATAATTTCACATATTATTATTATTATTTACTTGTATATAAAAGCTGCATTTCTGAGCAGAGTGTTGTTCAGAGAGCAACGCACAGGGTACTTACGCTTTTGCCAGCTCAGTCGATATTTGTTCCAAAGAGCATCCCTTTGTCTGTGGTATAAACACAACAACGAAGGCCAGGGAAGCCAGACTCATGACTGTATAGAAAAAGCACACCCATGGCAGGCCAATGCGGTCTGTAAAGGGCAGAAGAAATTGATTAGAAACGTGCTAAGGGTCGCTTTGATCCCATTTGTGGACAGCAGATGCTTAGAGTGTATATAAAAACACACGTATTTTCAAACACTCCAGTAGGATCCAGAGAAATAGCAATCACAAATTAAAAATACAGCCAGCCTCTGAAGGTTTCATTTTTACCGACTACACCAGCTTTCTCTGGTAAAGTAAACAGCAGTCTTGTAACTACACAATTTAAACCCAATGGCATCTTCTTGGTGAGCGTGCTTTCTTTTTCAAAATGGCAGTACACAGGCTCATTGCAAAAAGAGAACCTCAAACGGCACGGAAACATAGAAGCAGAAGGTAAAACATCTCCTCTCTCTCCTCTCCTTCCACAATTCCTCTCTCAGGAGCCACCGCTGCAGCAGTGTGGTTTCTGTCTGGTGGACATTCTTAAAGACATATTTATGCAGATGGACTTTTCTTGGAATGAGCTCACCCTTCTTTACTCTGATTTGAATCAATCATTTCACGTTAGCAATATTTCATCATTTAGTAGCCGGCAGTGTATTTGTAATGCTTCCTCCTGGGTTCAGAGAAAAAAAGTGATAATGGTTCTAAGGAAAGGCGTTAACTTGTTAAGATGCATCCGCAAGAAGCAGGATCCTTATTGATGGATCTCACCGCCAGCCTAGTTTTTCCTCTGACCACTTCCAGCCAAAGGTACCGTCCCTTTGTGGTTACTGACCAAGGTCAAGGTCCATTAACTGGTGATAAATGGCCTCCCGTGCACTGGAGCCTGCCATTCGCATTGTGTGCCCCCTGGCTCAGCAGCACAAAGTCCAGGGTGGCAGACAGTCACGAGGAGGAAGCTGGCTCTTTTTGCACACAGGCTCAGACCAACTGCAGACTGCACCAGCGCACACAGCCCTTCACAGCTGCAGCCACAGATCACGATGGCTCTGTCAGGAGAACTGGCAGAGCAGTTCTGCAGGGAGGCAGTTTGGTGAATGCAGGGTGGGAGGATCTAAGCATGTCAACCACTTGTCAGTCGGTCCTGCTGATGGGGGAGAAACAGGAAGCAGAAACAGCAGTGTGGCTCTGCTGGCAAGTTAACTAGAGTCCCATCCCTCAGGGCTTCTCGTGCTGCTGGCACAGGGTTTTGCCCAAGTGAGTGCTTAATATAGTGCTTGTAGAACTGGCCCTTCTTCCCTCTCTGGGGCATAAAACCAGAATACAAACAGTGAAAAAACCCGAAAAAGTCATAACATCAGACTTGTCCCTTGCTCTGTGTGAGCACTTTCAGTGACAGGGAGCTCACCACTTTGCAAAGACTCTCGCTGCACTGTGAGCCAGCTCTGCCTGCTAGAAAGGTATTCCTGACTGACTCCTAAGCCCACGTCCACCCTTCAGGACCTGCAGGTCCCCCGGATCAGCTCTCCGCTCCCCTCTTCATGACAGCGGTGCGGGTATCTGCATCTCCTCCGTCTCCTCCTGGAGCCTCTTTTTTCTGAGTCTAATATCCTGAACTCGCACTGTCCTTCACAGACCACAGGTCACGTGCCCGTGCCATCCAGACAGCCCTCCCTTGGGGAGGTGGACCCACTGCAACTCTCTTAAAATATTGAAACAATCCTCTTAAAATATTTTTCCCAGAGCCGAGCACAATACTGCAGCTGTGTCCTGATCATGCAGAGTGGGTTTGTCCTCTGGATACTCCGCTTTTATTGATACAGCTGAAACTGCACGAAAAAACTTGACGTCCCAGGGCCAGCTGCCAAGCAGAACTCTTATGTCTTTTACTTGGAAAACTGATTTTTGAAAATAAGTATAGAATTTCAAACTTAGTCCAATGAAAGGCCAGCTACAGGTTTTAGATCATTCCAGGTTTTTTTTAAAAGTGAATACGCTTTCCTAACACCTGTTCTAAACTCCCGTGCAGGAGGACCTCTGAATCTGCATCAGCTCATCCTGTACCTTAGCCATCCTTCCAGAGGTTTGTGTCATTCTCATCCCTCATCATTTCCATTCTTTCTTTTATATTTCCCCTTCTCCACACCAAACCGCAGATAACAGTGTGTGTGTGTGTGAAGGTGGAGGGCACAGGTCTATGCGTGTGATCGGAGTAGGAGAGCTGTGGGACATAAACATTTGAAAATTTTATGTAAAAACCCAAACCATGCTTAATTGATAACTCCAAAAGTTAGTATTTCCAAAAGTAGATGTATTTAAAAAAAAGTGGTTGACAAGATTCAGAAGTACTGTATATAAATATACACTTTTTTGGAGTATACATCAGCTTTTGAAAATTTATGTATTAATGTTATTTCATATTTATATATTATATATATAAAAAAAGGAAAGAAAGAAAACTCAAGTCATTGGTCGATTTTGGAGGATACTGGGAACCACCTCATTATTTTGAAAGCTAGAAAATAAAGAGAAATTTTCAAGCATTTATCTTCCCTTTCTTAAATGATTCATACTTTAGGACAGGCAAATAACGAATGAGAAGAAATTTCTCCTTAGAGGAGTTTTGCTGATACAAATGTAGAAGGAACAGCAGAGTGGAAACAGCGGATCTGGGCAATGACCCTCCGAGGGAGCCAACAGGACAAAGTGGGAGATGAGAGACGGGATGCACCTCAGATGGCAGGACACAGGACAGCACCCGTGAAGGAATTTGTAACAAACTAACCAGAAAATCCAAGTCCCTCAAGCCTCTGGATCTAAGTAGCAGTTTGCAGGAAACACAGGAACAGAGGTCACCTGATACAACCTCACTCAGCAAAATCCTGCTGGGGGAGAACTCTGGAACAAACAACCCAGTTTCTTCATTAAAAAGGTATCGTGGGGAGGAGGGGGAGAAATAGACATGAAACCTACAAATTATAAGGCACATATCAATCCGTTGTAAATTACGTATTTGGATCATGATTCAAAGTATGAAAAATAATTATAAGACAACTGGAAGACTATGAACACAGACTGGATATTTGATTCCAAGGGACTACAATTTTTAGGTGTAATAATGATACTGTGGTTATAGTTTTTAAGTGTCTGATCTTTTAGAGGTCCATGCTGAAATTTTATAGACAAAATAACATTATGTCTGAGGTATGACTCAAAAGAATATGCTCAAAAAGAGCAGGTGGGGTTACGAATGAATTAAGATTGATACCTGTTGAAGTTAGCGGTCAGTAGATCGGATTCATTGCCATTCTCTTTACTGTTGAATGTGTTTGAAAAGGTCCACAGTCCAATGTTTTTTAGGTGAGTGTGCTTCCCTGACAGTTGTCTTAAGAGCGCAGAGGCAGAGGAGGAAAATGATGAGTTCTTACCGGTCACAGTCAAAAACGTCAGAGAGATGAGGAGATTGATGCCCCAGTTCATGCTGGAAGTTAAGGCAAAGGCTCGTCCGCGAATTCCGCCGGGAAAAATCTCGCTCAGCACCAGCCAGGGCACTAGGAGAAGGCAAAGGAGAGGGGAAGGGACAGCAAAATTATCAAAAGCCCCTAGTCCTGCGTGATCTGTGGTTGGAGAGCTGGGCAGGTCCTTCCTCCGCAGGAGGGAGGACGCCTGTGCCTTCTCCTCACCTTCAGCCAAGTGAGAGAGGATTCAGGAGAAACACTGAGAGAGCTTGACGGTGGTCCCCGGGAGTAGGGGGAGGGACATAAAGTGCTGGTATGTGACACAGGCCTGAGAAATGCAAACGGGAGGGAGAGTGGCTGGGGCCACCTGCACGAGAGGCAGCTTGGGACATCTGCCAAGCACAGAGCCTCGGTGCCAGACCCCGGCTCTGCCTGCTGTTCCTCTGGGCCCGTTCCTGTCTTCTCCTTTCCCGCTGACCTTGAAGAAGTCCAGCATCATAGCTAGTGAGCAGGTAGGAAATAAGGCTAGGAGGCTGGAGGAAAGAGGCTGGCTACCGTCCCTTCTCCAACTTGGGCTTCTTGGCCTGGGGCAAGCTGAGCGGACAGAAGCTCTAAATTAAATAGAGCTCCAAGATTTGATTATTATACCAGACTAAACATTTGAACTTCTGAAAGGAGATTCTTCTTGGCACGAAAACTGATCAGAGGACTTTTTATTATCTGAGACTGACAGGGAACATTATAGGACGTGTCTGATGGGATTAGAAAGGGCACAAGAGGAACAACTTAACTTGTCTTGTTCTCACAACCTCTCACACTGAGTTTGCCTAATAAAATAGCTGCAAGATCTTACATGGTCCAAGCACTTTACAAACCTTATCTCATTTGATCCTCACAAAATCCTGCAAGATAGGAACTATTACTATTCCTCTTTCATAGAAGAAGAAAACTGAGGCTTAAGGAGTTAATAATTTGCCAAGGTCACAGAGCTCCTAAGCAGCAGAGATGGCATTGAGCCCTGGCACTCAGGTTCCGGAATTCATGCTTTTTAATCACGGTTCACTCTTGGTGGTGGCTCAATAAATATTTGTTAATGAATAAATGAATGTGCAGTATAAGCACCTTTGATTCCAAGGAAAGAAGGACTTAGGAGCTGCCCTAGGCCCGGCTCACTGCTGACTAAGTCACCTTGTGTTGGAAAGCCAGCATTTATATACAGACCAGCTGCATCACCCGGCCTAGAGGAGGCGGTGGGAGGAAGGAGCAAGAAGCCAGTGATGGGGCCCACTGGTCAGCGACCTCTTGGGCCCCCTATACGAGAACCAAGCAGTCAGATGTGCCTCTAATTTAATAACTTGCCTCTCGTGACAAGATCACGCTCTGTACAGAAAACATCTGCTTGTGGTAAATTTGCTGTTTTAAAGTAAGAAAAATAAATTTAATTATAAAAGAGGGCTGGGAAAAAATTTTTTCTTGATTATCTTCTCCAAGTGAATCTATATAGGGTTACCTTTTGGGTGTGGAAGCTAATGTAACAAAAAGAATATTATTATTGTCCTAGTTAATAGGGAATTCAAAAATAAAATTCCATGTCCCTCCTCTCTGTTCCCTACCCCAAAAGACCTTCCCTAGTTTCTTGAAGATTATATCCCTGGTGGGATCACTTTGCTCTTAATGAGACCAGTGCAATACCCAGTAACCTTGCCTTGAGCTTTGCAAGACTGGGGATCTGGCTCTGAGTAGAATGGTAGCTCTATAATTCTGGTGAAGCCTTGTAATGACCTGTCCTTGGACAAATACAAGATGAAATTTTGTCAATCCAATTTTTTGAGGCTAAATAATCTATGCCACAGGCCAATCCCACTATGTCCCTTCCTGCCATGGATATTTGACATGGGTCAGGGTGGAGTCTCAGAGGGTTCCTTATCGCCTTTTGCTCTAGCGTCCATGAGGAGGAGGTGGGGGGAGGGACCCTCTTTCATTTTCTTTTGGTAGAGGGGTTAGCACAGGTTTTCTTGATCTACTTCCATCCCCATTTCAGCACCTCTGAAACCCCTTCCACGCCTCCCCACCTTCATCGTGATGGCCTCTTGGAATTATTTGGTGGGATTTTGGGAAAATCATTGCTGGGGTCATCAGAGCCATGTTGGCGATGAGAATGAGCTGATCCTGCTGTTATAGAAAGTGGTGGATTTTCCCAATGAGAAGAAGGGACAGTTACACAAAGCACTGGTTATAAGCGCTCGGTCTGAACTGTCAAGAGCTTGCCTAAAGGATCCTGAGATCTACACTGGAAGACTGTCCTAGGCGTGCATTCAATTCAGCAGCTGAGGCAAGTTCTTGGGCAGGTTAACCAGTCAGTGAGCAATGAACTGAATTTTGAAAGAGACTTCCCTTAGTCGCTCAGGAGAACTTGCTGTAGGCAAACCCTACACCTGACGTTCCCAAAACTAACGTATCATAGCTGAAAGCTTCTGCTTCTTTTGTGATCTAATGGAAAGAATTCAAGAACTGATGCCTTGGTTTATCTAATATTGACAAACTGGATGTTGCAGCAATTGACAAGTGTTTTGACAAGGATGGTCCAGCCTCCCAATGTGGAACCTGTCAATTCAAAAATAAGGAGAATGTTATTTTAACGATGATGTCAGAACCATAAAATTACAGGTTTTCAGATCCAGAGAGAAAATGGCACTTGTAGCAAAATGGAACTTACTGAAGGGGTAAAAATCTTCCCTTGGCTAACTTAGGAGCAAGACGATGCCAGAATCTTACAGGCCTCCATGTTCCCTAGAAAGAAGCTGTGAATGCCCAAAGCAGAAGGAATGAAGAAGCTCTGTTTCAATTTATAAGTAAAGAGGATAGAAGTATAAACCATCATGTGGGGATTTAATGTGTTGATATTTATAATGACAGGTGAAAGTTTTCTTAAAATCACTCATTTTCTTTTTTTTTTAACTAGATGGCCTAATTTCTCCCCCAGGGAAAATCAAGTTATTGCTACATGCCACAGTGAAGAAGTGGTGGCTCCTTCTGGGTGTCCCTGTGATCCCCTACCCTGATGACAGAGCCATAGGGGTTGCTTCGTGCTGTTGCTTGTGAGGAATCCCCAGAGTGTTCAGAGATACAGTGATCTCTTCTACAGTGAACACAGCTGCTGCAGTTCACAACCTCTGAAACAAATCTCCTGGACCTCTATTATTCCACCTTTCGTTCCCGGGCTAACTCAAAGCAACATGTGCCTCTATAAATGTCAGAGTCTGCACACGTCTTTAAGGTCTTCTCTATGCTGCAGGGACAGGAAATTTTGAACTTGCTAGGAGATAATTGTCCATAGGTACTGGAACTTGTATTTCACATAGCATTAAATCACTCGTCAGGACTTGCCTGATCCAGATGAAATCTGCAGATAGTGTTTGTGGCTGCACTGAGGGTCATAAAAAGGCCTTACAGGCCTCCATGAAGGACGAATATGTTGAATTGTCTCTCTGTGCAGTGGAGGACATGGACTTGGGTTAATAGATACAATCAATGAAAATGACTCGGCCCTGTGACATGGAAACTGCCATGCCTGTCTCCTCATCCCTCCATGTTTCTGCCACTGCCACAATTTTTCCCACTGAAGCTGTCACTTAGCTCCCTGTGCTTTCAGATGTTAAACCCTGCAGCTCTCCGGGCATATTTTCCATTTGGCTTGAGCTCTTCCTGAACCACCTAACGTGCCAGCCCCAGGTTTGAAAGACTCATGGAGATCTTGTAACTCTGGAGGAAGTTCTACATGCAGGCCACAGAGTTGTCAACAACTTGATTTGTCAAGGAGCCAGTGTCCTATACTTTGTAGGATTCCCTTTTATTGCCTTTGCAATAGCATGCAGCACACCTAGCTCTCTGACTGCAAGGGGGTACTTTAAGTGCGAATTCGAGAGGGAAATATGCCCATTTCCTTCCAACCAGATGTTTAAATCCTGACCTCATAATTTCCCCAAATGGAAAAATTATGTTCTTTAAAAAATATACTCCCGCATAGGCCACCATGTCCAACATCAGCAATGATGTGGTGACTTTAATTTATTTTTATTTTTTGTATTCTCCCTTGTCTTGGTCTCTCTGAATTTTTCTCACTCCTGTCCTCTTCTAAAATAAATGCTTTATTGAAGAATACAGTAGTCCCCCCTTATCCATGGGAGATACAGACCAAAACCCCCAGTTGGATGCCTGAAACGGCGGATAGTACCGAACCCTATATATACTATGTTTTTTTCCTATACATACAGACCTATGTAAATAAAGTTTAATTTATAAATTAGGCACAGTAAGAGATTAACAACAATAACTAGTAATAAAATATAACAATTATAACAATATTCTGTAATAAAAGTTATGTGAATGTGGTCTCTCTCAAAGTATCTTATTGTACTGTACTCATCCTTCTTGCAATGCTGTGAGATCATAGAAAGCCTATGTGATGAGATAAAGTGAGATGAATGATGCAGGCGTTGTGGCCTACCCTTAGGCTACTATTGACCTTATGATTATACATTAGAAGGAGGATCACCAGCTCCCAAGACCTTGGTTGACCTCAGGTAACTGAAACCGTGGAAAGTGAAACCATAGATAAAGGGGGACTACTGTATTATCTTGGATTACTTACATAACAAACTAAGAAGAGCAATGTAATAAAGCCTCGATGTTCCCCAATCTTTCTATCTTAATGATTTCTAGTCAAAACCAACAGAAATGATTTTTTAAAAATATTTTAGGAGAGGGGCCAGCCCGGTGCCATAGCGGTTAAGTTTGCGCGCTCTGCTTCAGCAGCCCAGGGTTCGCTGGTTCCGATCCTGGGCGCGGACCTATGCACTTATCAAGCCATGCTGAGGTGGCGTTCCAGGCAGAGCAACTAGAAGGATGTACAACTATGACATACAACTATTGACTGGGGCTTTGGAGAGAAAAAAGGTGAAAAGGAGGAAGATTGGCAACAGATGTTAGCTCAGGGCCAAACTTCCTCAAAAAGAAAAAAAATATATTTTAGGAGAAATTGGACTAAGTGGAATAACCCTCAATAAAAAATGCCAGAGTTAAGAATGGAAGCC